CCGTGTGGGTCCCCGGGGCTTCGCAGCTCCCGAGCGCGCAAGGCCGGCGGCGGAGGTGGCGTTGCCGACTTTCAGTCATCACCAACGGGCTCAAAACACTGTTTTTGGAGGGGGCTGCGGCTCTTTGTGAAATGGTGTCAAATGCGAGCGCTGGTTCTGGCACGGAGAGGAGCGCGCGTGCTGCTCGCACGAAGCGTTTTGACGTTTATTTCACATGCAGAAAGCCAATGAGTTAAGCCATAAAAACCTCTAAGTAGTTCATTTTGGGTGGACGTAAAATATTTTATTGGAGGCAGAAGGTATCCTTCTGAGGGCTGATTTTCATCCTGCCAAAAATCAGCTGAGAAAGTAAGATGAATTTCAGACTCACCTAACTCTGTTTTTTTTCTCCCAGTCTGGTTCTGCCCATGGAACAAAACAAAAAACAAACCCTGCAATTTTTGTTTTAATGATGATTTTGTCGCTTTCCCCGAAGCCTTCCCATTCTCGCTGTGAAATATTTCATCCCGCAGAAGCCTGCGGTGGCGAAGCGTGGGCTGGAGGAGCCGGTTTGCGCCGTGCCAGCCCTGTGCCCCGCACGGTGCTTCCCTGTCACCCGGACCCCTCGCTGTGAGTCTGGGGGCTGGATTTGGTTGACGCCGCTCGGCTGCGGTGCTCGGAAGCGGAGCCCGTCCAGGGGACGTGGCCGGGTGAGCCCGGCGCCGCTGGCCGCGCTCGGGGCTCTCTCGGCTCCCTGGTCCTGATCAAGGTGCCCCGGGATGGAGCCTTCGCCGCTTCCCGCAGCGCCCTCCCGGCGCCGCGCCTGGCTGCGCGTCCCTCGCGCACGTAGGAGAGAGCTGCCAGGATTTGCTTAGCGAGTGTGAGCGCACGGAGCACAAAAGGCCTGTCAGGGGGAACTGCGGGGTAATTGCTGCAATTTACAGCCTACGTTTTAATTCTGAGCATTATTTTTTCAACAATAAGGGAGCAGAAATCACATCCGAGCCAGGTGGGGAAAGGGAGCCGGGCTCAGGGGGAGCGGCCGCACGGCGCCAGCTCCCTCGTCTCATCCGGGGCCTCCAAACGGGACACCCCGATTCCCTGCGGGACACAGGCCAGCTCCCCGCTCCCTTCTTCCAAAGCCTGCGGAGCCGCTGAGGAGGTCCCGGTGCGGGGAGGCCACGCGGGGAGCATCGAGCCGCTGCCTGCACCAAGCGCCCCCAAGCGCCCGGGTTTTGTGGTGCTGCGAAGGCAGGTCCCCGTCCCAGCCAACGGCCGCAGCCCTCGTCCCCTGGCGCGTCCCGCTGTCCCTGCGCGCGGTCCGGCGGGGCTGGAGCTCTCGCCACGCTTGCCCGATGAGCTCGCTCATCCTTCCCCTCGCAGCCCTGCGCTGCTAATGCCTGCACGCTCCCGCCGAGGGACCCTCCATGGGCTCCCCAGGAGCTGGGTGGAGGGCACGGCCTCCCTCCACGCACCCCAGGCTCCTTGTCGCGCTCTGCAGCCTCCTCTTCCTCCCCGCTCCCCTGCAGCCCGCGCGAGCGAGCCCTGTCCCAGTTCCCGCTGGCACCGAGCGGCGCCCGGCACCTCCCCGAGGGAGAAGCGCCTCCCGTGGGGTCCGGAGCGGAGGAAACTCCGAGCTTTGTTTCCCTTCCTCGCTCCCCCGCTGCCGCTGACACGCGGGCGGGAGCGCGGGGGCCGGCGAGCGCGGGAGGGAGCGAGGGAGGGAGCGAGGGAGGCGGCGAGCGCCAAGCGGCCGCACCCCTCGTCAGCTTGGGCCGCTGCCACGTTCGTTATTAATGCTCCGTCTAGAGGTCACATTCAGCCGAAACGAGCCCCGGGTCAGCCGGAGGAAAAGATCAGCGCTCGCTCGCTCGCTGCTCCGCCGCGGAGCGCTGGTGGCGGCCCCGCTCCAGCCCCCTTTTCGTTTTTCCTCGCTTTTTCTTGGCACCGTCGGGCAC